AAAGTAAGCAGAACCCTCAAATGAGAGCAAAGCCTTCAATTCACCCTGTTATGGTGGCCTGGCTCTGGTGCTCACACACAGACCCTTTAACACTGAACACAGCTCTCACCACAGAAGGTGAGAATTGCAGAAGTAGATTGGGGGGGGGAATAGAACACCCCTCCCTCAAAAAACCAAACAAAAAAGCCCACCCCACCTCACGAGACGTTACCCAGCTGTAGCCAAACCTGCAGCTTTTTATGAGACTAGAACTGGCATTTATTTCTGTGTAACTTTCGAGAGTTACATTAGCAAGCTTGCTAAAACATTTACGGTTCCTCTAGCAGAGGATTCTCATTCCTACAGCTCTTTACCCCTGGTTAAAGCAGATGACCCAAACACATCATCAAAAGGCAAACAAACAGAAACTAATCAGTATATTCCATCCCAAGGTAAGACAATACCTTTCATGTTGTTGCAGCAGGTAAAGCCCAGCCATGCCACACCATTACCTTTTACCAAAGTCCTCTAATTACTCCTTATCTTTCCTGACTACTGGGAGGGCCAGTAATGGGGCACAGCTGGTGGCATTTGATGTTACACTGCTCCCAGCAGCTGCAGCCCTGCCTTCACTTTGGGCACAGCTTTAATTAGCCATGATACTTTGGGGGTAATTACAGCTAGGTTTATTCTTTTTAAGAAATATTGACAGGCATATTCTTAGTGTGAAAAGGTTGTGAATATTACAGTTAACATGTTAAAGAAGAGTAGACAGGTAACCTAAAGAAAGCCCGTGTTTCAGGAAGATTGAAAATTTTAATATCTATATTTGTGAGGAGTTTTACAGCCCAGGAGTTGATGTAAGGAGTTTGCAGGTTACTGATGAGGCAGCTCAGCTCTTGCTGCTCATCATTGTACGACGCTACACAGGGAAATATCCTCAGTGAGGTCACCAGGGCTCATCCTTTTGTCCAAGAACAGTGCAGGCAGTGTGACATTGTGGGCCACAAAAATGGACTTCCAGAATGTAAATCCAGAGTTAAGAGTTTTCCATACCCCTCTGTGTTGCAGGCTTGCAAGGTGGGGAAAGGCACAGCACCGGCCGCCTAAATCACACACAAAACATGGCTTTTTATAATATGTTGTAATTATTGGGACAGCCTGAAAATATTGAAAAATAGGCTTTGTTATCATTGCAGAGGCATGGAAAACACTTCCCACACTGAATAATCATCACCATTACCAACAATTTGCTATTTAACTGAGAATTTAAACTATGGTCAAGACATTACAACCGAACCCCTTCCTTTGGGGCAGAGCTGACTGTGACTGCCTTCTCTAAGGACATACCCTTCTGTGACCACATATATCGGTGTACAGGAGAACCTCCCACCTTGTTATTGCTCCAGCTTTTGTGGAGAGAGCAGGAAACATCGCTGCCTACACTGAAGGTACCAAGCCAGACCTTTCAGCATCTCCAGCACTTTCATTTCTTGGCACTCTGGGATGGTGGGAGAAATTGGATGTTAAATCAGGAGGGCTGCCACAGGGTCAGCAATGTACCAAGAGCTCTTGTGCATTTCAGTTTAAATTCTACAAAGATTGGGCAAATTTCCCTGTAACTGATAATCCACAGACCCTCTTGAAAGGGGGTGTGAGGCAATGGGAGGAAGCAGATGCCCCTGGTGCCCATCGGCCAGTGGCAGGGGGCTTGGCTCCAGCTGCAGGAACAATGAGCGGAAGAAAGGGAGATAAGCAGCCAGGAAACAGGGCACAGAGGAGCAGAAAGCCACAAGAAAGCAGAAAGGGAGAGCTGCAAGGGGAAAAGCAAGACCAGCATCCAGTGTCAAACAGGAGGGAAGCCCATAGCAGAAAGGAGGCCTCCAGGAAATTTCAGATGGTATGTCAGAGTGAGGGCACTGGGGTAAAGGCTCCATGAGGCCAGGGCAGAAGGAAAACACCACCAGCAGCAGGGAGCAGAGGGACTATGAGCCTCTCTGTGAAGTCCCTGGGGCAATGGAGACTGGAGCATTTGTCATTTTGACAAACCTCCTAGAGGGAAACACTAGAATGACTGGGATTATGGATGTAAGACCTGGTGAACAATGTCCACTTTTGGATATTCAGTCTGAGACCAAAAATAAAAAATAAAGGTGGTGTAGATTTCCCTATCTCAGCAATGCAAAGAGAGGGTCAGAAGGAGCCACACAACCTGGGACGGAAACAGGTCCATATGGAGCTCAAAGATATTCAATTTTCCCAACGGACCATATAGGATAAAGTGATCAAAATCTCTTCAGGTGTCCTATTTCAAACCCTAGATAACCACACACAAATCTTTATTATGGGAAGGTCAGATCTGCTGTGTTAAACACTCAACATTTAGGAAGCCATGCTATTAGAGCTGTTGGTGACACGTGCATTCAGCCCCACTATTCACCTGTGACAGTCAGATGCTGTTATCCAGTAACAGTTGTACAGTAACACATGACTTCATCTGTGCTTTTCACAATTCCCCACCTGGCACAGGTGCACAGGGCAGAGCCACAAGTAGTTTCTTTTCGCCGCTTTCATCTTGACACCCTTTTTCTATCCCTCCTCTGTCTCCCTTCGTCATCCCTCATTAAAGCCCCCGAGCCCTGCAGTGTGTGAAGGGCCCAGAGCACCCCGCCTGCCAGCGGGGGATTATTTCTGAGCCAATAATCTCTCCTGCATGACAAAGCTTAGCTGGGCTTCATGTAGGCATTTAGAGCTGCTCTGTGAAGGCAGTGGTGACCTGGTTTGCCACGCCCAACCTGGGATGGCAGCAGCGGGCTCAGATAGGGTCTTTCCCCTGGGTTTCCCTGCATAACCAAGCCTTGTTTGTAGTGAATTCCTGAGAGAGCAATTCATCCTGAGGATTTCCTACATCTACCCTATTTTGTAACCAAAGAAAAGCTGCCCACCAAAACAGCTGCTGCTTCTTAGGTGGCTTCAGGTAATTCTGTATCTATACATGTTTCTCCTGAAAAATTGAGGGTGTACTGCATGTGCATGAAGCCTCATGTGAGGCAGCTCCAGGTTTAGGAACATGGGTTGATGCTCTCCAGAGGTCAGGAAGTGTGGGAAGAGCCAGGCACTAATTAACCCAGTGCTCAGGGGTGTGGGCTGCAATCTCCAGGGTGACAGGTCAGAGGGACGGGCAAATACATCTTGCCCCAGAACCCTACCGGGAACAAAACTTCTTTTTTTCCCCCTCTTCCCCCAAAATACAGAGAACAAGAACAGTTTGACAAAGAGGGTCAAGCCCAAGAACTTTTGCTGCTCATCTCGGGGTTAGTGGTGCTGTCAGTGACACTGCAGATGATGGAATCGCAGACAACTTTTTGGGCACACTGTGTTTTGGTGTCACCCTCCCTAATGCCATGGTGTGAGACCAGTCAGGAATGCATCTTATGCATAGGGCTCTGCTCTTTCTCCTCAGGAAATGGGTCATCTGCATCAAGAGAGCAATCAGCACCTGAGCCTGCTCCAGTGCTCCAACACCATTGATCAAAGTGAATAATTATCAAATATCCTGTACCATGTTATGGAGGGAATGAAAATCCCTTTCCATGGATGACAGAAGGACTTATTAAGCTCTCTCCTGAAGGACAGGGAGTTGCTGGACTGTCTGACAAATGAAGTAAAGGACAATTTTTTTTTCATTTTAAGTCCAGAGTGGGGAGGCAAGTCAGGGGTCCCAATTCCAAATGTTCTGTAGACTATCGGGACTACACTATGAGCAGGCACAACCAGCTGGTATAGGATTGGGGTTATTTCATGTGAGGGAACATGAGCAATAGCAGCCAGTAAATCTCTCCTGCACAGCTGGATTTAAGCCTTGCCAACTGCATTACTTCCCTAGCACATAATGTTCATTTGTTCATTCATTCTTACTATCCCATTGACTTTACTGCCTAATTTATAGTACACAAACCCTTCAAGGTATGGATTTTGGCATGTCATGGAATAGCAGCAGAGTGCAGCAGAAGCAGACAAGGGCACTGCCACTCCCCCAAAGCTGGGGATCCTCACAGCACTTCCCAGCAGCACTGGATTTGCCCATACTAGACATAGTTCATCCCATCTTTGATATTAAGCTTGACTGATACTTCTCTCAGATTTGATACATTATAAAAAAGGTAAACCCTGATTCCAGTTGAGTCCTATTATATAGTCTGTTTGATATCTTACTCTGTCTTTAAAATGCTGACACCCCACCCACCACCACCACACCCCCTGAGGATCCTGATTTTGCATTTTCCTCCAAACAAAGGCTTTCTGAAAGCAGGAGCCCCTCCAGTTGCCTACTGCTACTGGCACTGACCCCCGCCCTGAAACCCTGATCAACCAAACTGTTCTCTTCTCATTGGCATCAATGTGAAAGTTGTTCTCACCCTATAGATCCTGATAATTATTGGTTTCAACAGAAGGAAGCATACACACAAATGATAATTCCGAGGCTGAAATCAAGCTCTGTTATTTTCATGCCATTGCTAACATGTCCGGAGATTTATTAAAGCCATGAGTCAACCCCTGTCAGAAACCAGAGACATTGCTTGCGAATAAGCAACTTGGGTGTTTATTCCTCCTGCCTCCTCATCTGCCAAGCTGCACCAGGGAAGGGTGCCTCCTGATAAGCAACGTCAGGCTAATTATCCACAGAGATTTTAAGCTGCATATTTTCTCTCTGGACTAATCTAACCCAGCTGTGGGAAAGGCAAGGTTTTAATCAATCCTTCTATCCATCCCATGACACTAGGATACATGTGCATACATAGGTATGTGCATCACCCAGTAAATAACCACGGTGTACACCATTAACAAGCTGCCTGTCACATGCTGTTCTGTTTGCCTTTCTTTTACAGGCCTTTAGGGCTGCCTCCAAACAAACTAGTTCTGAAATGAAACAAGTCCAAAGCCCAATAATTAAATAGGGTTGTCAATGGGTTTCACAGGACTTGCTGCTTTAGTGATGATGGTCACCTTGCTGTACTTACTGTGACCTGTGTGCTGGCAGGGTAGCTGGAAAACATGGCAGGGTAGCACGAATGGGAAGTACCAAGCTCCAGTGTCCAAAATACACCACAGCAGTGTCTTCAAATGGGAACAGCTTTGTTGTTTAAATCATTCTTACTCTTCTAATTCAGCTTCCTCTCTGAAAGTCCTTGTGCAGCTCTAAGCCAGCCTGCACAGTGAGTGCCCTCCACACAGCAGGCAATGGCAGCAGGGCCCTCTGTATCCCGGGTGTATCCCCTCAGGAGGGCTGAGGGGCTGCGGTCACGGCTCTGTCACATTGTGGCATTCCCCGAGGATGTGGGCAAGAGCTTTTCCTGCTCCCTAAGTGGGCGGCAGAGCCAGGAGCAGGACAGAGACAAGCCGGGACCGGCTGCGCTGTGCTGAGGTAAAACGAGGTAAAATGGCCGCCCTGTGCGGTAAAATGGCCGCCCTGTGCGGTAAAATGGCCGCCCTGTGCGGTAAAATGGCCGCCCTGAGGGCACAGGGAGCGGAACCAGTCCCGGGCCCACGGCTCAGCCAGCCAAGCAGCCTGGGTGCACGTCCCCTGCAGCAAACTGTCAAACTTCAGTTTTAAAATCCATTGGTTTGGGGTTTTTTGCCCCTCACACTGTGCTTTTTCCATTGCTGAACTCATATGATGGTTCCTGGGGGCTCTTGCATCAGACCAACCTCATGGCCGACACATTTCCCTTTGCAGCACGAATGATTTTGGACAACGCAGACTCTAGGAACGTACTTGACTTTGTGTCTATGCAAATTAATAAAAGTAGAGGAACAAAAAACATTACAAATGGAGACAACATCACATTCCAAGAGGATATGTTTGAGAATACTGTGCTGAGGGCTGCACACTCATGCAGAACATGCTATATAGTGCATTTGTGAAGGTTTAATCTAGGGTCACGTGAAAAATACACACAAAAGAGGGCAGAGAAGCACTTCCCGGGAAAAAGCAAGAAAGTAATATACAACTACGTTAAACTTATAGGATCATAATTTAAATAACATCATTTAAAACACCAGGAGTAGTCTAGCTTGTCAAAAAGCCCTCATAGATGTGTTAAAGCAGTAAATGCAGCCTTAGAGTAACAAAGCATTTTGGTGTGTCCCAGGCCATAAGACAGAGCAGACAAGGGGGACATAGTGCTAAAAATCATTGAAATAATTGATATTGTGCAATCTGTCTTTCATTGATCATTTGTAGTTTGTATCGGCACAAGCTGCAGAAGTTCTGTCACTGAAACCACCGTAATGGGGTAAAAGCAGTGTTGGAACACGTAAAAAAAGCCCTTTAGGCTCCTGAGTTAATTAAGGGATTGTGAAAAATGCCTCCTGCCTCTTCTGAGAAGCCCATCATACTGCCCTCGTTTTTCATGTGTTAGTGAAAAATGCATATTCCTCTGGAAAAACAGCAATCCGGTGGCTTGCAATTACAGAAATATTTTCAGTGTAACATCATGACATGTGTGACTGTTACAAATGGTGCTCATTTTTCTATGAGGTTAAAGTGCAGTGATGTGCTGTGCTCCAGGGATTTTTAATGAGAGCAATGTCAGTGTTGGGTTTGCCAGTGGATTAAATAAAGGCGGAGAGATGCTATGAGAGATCTCATCTTCAGAAGTGGTGGTTGGAAAAGGATAAACTCCCAGCTGTCTGGGGATTTTCTACATCTTAAAGAGTTTTATGGTTTCGTCATTCTCTTTGTAACAGAACACGGTGGGGTCAGTGGTGGCTGCAGACCCTGCAGTTCCAGTGCTGATCTGTGTGACTTCAGTGGGTGCTTTAGGCTAAATAATGAGTTTTAAACATTATTAAACAAGCTATTCACAAGCTGTTCAGTTATTTGCCAGCTCAGGAGAAATGCTTGTTGGAATCACCATCCCTGGAGGTGTTCAAGAAAAGACTGGACATGATACTTAGTGCTCTAGTCTAGTTGACAAGATAAAGATCAGTCGAAGGTTGGATTTGATGATCTCGGAGGTCTTTTCCAACCTAGGATTAATATCCTGCTTCCAGTTTACAGAGCCAATCTTTCCCCTAAATTACTCCTTTATTTTTAATTAAAAATAAAAGCCTGAGTGTTGCAGTAAACTGTTCTATGTTGCAACTTGCTTGGTATCCAGTCCGATGGAAAACTTGTCCCGAGACCTCTGATCATTAAGTGAAATCTTAAACCAGCATTATTATAAATATTCCCCAATATTTCTGTGCTTACTTATCATCATCATATTTCAAATCACCTATTTTCAACACTATTTTCTTACTGAAAGGCAGCCCTAATCCACTAAAGACAATACTGACAGCTAGAAAACAACAGCCATTTGCACTTTCAGCTCCCCTCTGCAGACTACAGCAAAGAAGACTGTTCTTTGATTTACCCCATTTTAGTTTCTTTTGATCATGGGAGAACAGGAAAACAGAAGATAATTTCAAACATGTTGGCACTATCTGCAAAGAATTCTATTAAAGCACAAAAAAGATTTTTTTTTTGCTTTTTATATTTTCAAGGGCAATACAAAAATTATGATGTTGGTTCCAAAGTCAGGTAAGATCTGTGTTGGCAACTACAATTCTTTTATAGGACATATGTTACTGAGTATTGAACACTTGTTTATGTAGGCACGGATTTAAGAATAACACCACAAAATCAAACTGATAAAGTGCAGACCTGTGCTGAGAACCAGGCCTGGTAACTCTGTCTACTCCTACAGCTGAGAAAACAGAAGGGGGAAAAAACTGCCATTATAAGAGAAGAAGCATATTATAAATTATAGTTACAGAACTAGACCAGCTTTCCTGCAAGGTCCAGAGCACTGGAAACCCCAGGTCCCCAGTGTACATGCACACCGTGTTTGTTGCAGGAAATATTTTAAGTTAGACTTTGGCTTACACAGTGGTTTATTTATAAGAAAACTTAACAAAGTTGTACTGATCCAAACAGTTCTCTTAACACAGTTTGTTTATATATTTCAGAATTATGTTTCAGAATAAAAAATTATGCCCTTAAAACCAGATAACAACCTACCCCCAACACAGTAAGTTTCGGCAAACAGTGATCAAGAAAGAGTGAATGGGGGAAGCCAGTGTGAGTCACGACTTGAGCGATGGCCTTTGCAAGATCTCATTCCTTGCATCAGAATTTTCTCCCTAAGAAGGATTTAGGAGATAAAAAGGTAAATGTAACATGTCCTTGTGTTTCTCCATCTCATAAGGGCAGTTTTCTACAGTCCTTAGTAACAGAAAAAAAAATATTTCCAGAGCTTTCACATATCCAAAAAAAAAAAAAAGGCAGAAAACAAGAGGGAGAATAAAAACTAATATAAGCTAAAACATTATTTTGTAGTAAACAATAGAATATAACGTGCAATAGTGCAATTTCTCCTTTGCTGCTCCAACAGTGAAGTCTTGGAAGATAGTCCCCTGCGTGTCACCGCGTAGCATCCCACATCTAACTGCGTGTTTGCCGGGCACTGCTGGCTTTGCCGGGCTTTGGAGCAGAGTCGCTGTGTCCGGGCTCTGCTTTCCCCTTCCCAAGGTGGCGGAGTTTCTGATCCCAGCGCTGCAGGTTAAACAGCAAAGACATTACAAGAGAGATTACAGAAGAAATAGGTCATATGTAAAAGAAACACGTGCTCACACACAGCAGCAGAAGGAGAAAAGCTGCTGCTGTTTCCATCACATCGCCCTGCGTTGGGCTCAGGGGTGGAATGTGAGGTTATTGGGAAAAGTCACTTCAAACAGGGAAACCATTTCCTGGCTTTCTTGTAGCCTCTGTGAATGAAGGGGTTATACAAGGCATAATGGCTTCAGCACAAAGGGGACTTACCTTTGAAATAATAAAATTTAAATAAAGCTACTGGTGCACAGTCTTCGGAGGAAGCAAGCAGGATGACAAAGCAATCAAGTGATTTTTGTTAATTATTAAAAATTATTATTTATTTTTACTTTTGCAGGTAATAGCAACCACAGTAAAAAAAAAAAAAAGTAAAAAGGCATAATAAATATAGTTGGTGCAACTGGTGATAGTCTTGGAAAAGGAGATGATAATGAGAAATGAGTGGAGATGTGGCAGGGTCCTTAGCAGCCCCAGGCTGGGCACGAGAGCAGAGGCAGCAGGTCACAAACAACAAGGAAACAAGTGAGAAAATAAGTGAGTTCCCAAAAAATTATTCCAAACAAATGATGCTCCCACCCAAGAACTGGAACTGAGGATAAGTCAGGTCACAGTGGTAACAAGGTATTTTCTCTGTGGCACTGGATTTCATAGGGTTCTGCCAAATCAAACAACAACTTGGAATTAGACCCTCATATCTTTTCCCTCCTGTAATCTCCATGAATGCGACAAATGGCACAGAAAATCTTGGCTTTATAATCACAACAGTATTTTCCTGTCAGTGACCATTACACTGTTGAAGAAAGTGCTGAGTGGAAGAGAAGACTGGTTTGCACAGACAACCATTATGGCAAATCAATGGCTGAGAAATTGCAGCAAAATAAGAAAATTCTCTGTAAAGTGACATTCCTATGACATCAAAATCACTGATACTTTGCAGCTCATCAAAACATAAACAGCAACCCTTCCAGAACTTGGAAGTCATTAGAAAACGTGTAAATTAGAAAACAACAGAATGTATTTGCATATCGAATTAGGGTTCTTCAGCCTGGAGAAGGCTCCATGGACACCTCAGAGCACCTTCCAGTACCTAAAGGGGCTACAAGAGAACTGGAAAGTGACTTTTGACAAGAGTTTGTAGTGACAGGACAAGAGGGAATGGCTTCACACTCATGGAGAACAGGTTTGGATTAGGTATGAGGAAGAAATTCTTCCCTGTGAGGGTGGTGAGGCCCTGGCACAGGTTGCCCAGAGACACTGTGGCTGTCCCATCCCTGGAAGCGTTCCAGGCCAGGTTGGATGGAGCTCTGCGCAACCTGGGCTAGTGGAAGGTGCCCCTGTCCATGACAGGGCAAGGAAACAAGATAATCTTTAGGGCCCCTTCCAACCCAACCCACTCTAGGATTTGACGACACTTCACTTGCACTTGAGCTCATTGCTTCCATGACTTCCCTGTCATCTACCTCCCTCAGCTAAGCCAGGAAGGTGAACTTAAATTAATTGCTAATCCACACAATTTGGTAAGGGAACTGTATCTAAAGAACATTAAATCTGGAAAGTATAATCCTGCCTTAGTCTGGAAAACATTTGTAAAGCCCTCTCATTTTTTCTTTAACTAGTATCACCCCAATTAAGCAGGCATGTGCTGTGGAACACACAGCTTGCCTGTGGAGTTAAAACACTCCTACTGTTCGCTTTTTTGAGACAGAGGTTTTGATTGCTGCTGAACTAGGGGGCTCTGGGGTAATTCAATGTATCCCTTTAGTTTATTCATCATGCATTTCT